GCAACTTCCCAAGTGTGTGTGGGGGGGAAGTCAGTTAAGATTTATTTTTAACTAGGTGATATCTACAAACATCATCCTTCAACTTCTTTTACTTGCTGCTCACAATTTTTGTAAAACGTTAAATTCTTGCGATACATAAAAAACATTTAGTTAAACATCAGTTGTAAACGTTTAAAATAAATTCTCACGCGCTCTGAAACAGCTTGCTAAGAACGATCACAGCTCTCCTAGAAAGTTTTTTTACTAGATGTCTAGAAATTCTTCCCCCGTCACAAATATGAACCTCTGGCCACTTTCGTTTAATCTCTAAGAAACAACGTGCAAAGACCTTTTCTTCTCAAAAGAGTAAGGGCACTTGTTAGAAATTTTCTTGAACCTCAAGTTAGTTAATTCTTCTCGATGTAAGCATAGGAGAAAGTTCGGGTCTGAATGGTGTGCTGAAACAATTTATTTCTAATTATTTTCAGGGAAAAAAAGAGACAAAACCACTTTTCCTATAAAACATCTTTTTTAAATCTCAAACCTACATACAACAATCACTTGAAAAAAATCCAGACTTCATGGTGCTTATTTGAAAAACAGGATAAGATTACTCTTCATTTTTATAAACAAAACATAAAGACGTATTTCTTTCAAATTTCTATTTGCCTAGATTTATTATTCCACATCTTGTGGTTCGGAGCCGTTTCTCCCAACTTCTTTAAGTAAAGTCCTGTTCTAAAATCCACCCCCAAACAGATGTTACTTTATGCACAAATCCACCGCTATGGTGGGCTTTTTTTACCTTTCAAGTAACACGTGAGTTACAGCCTCACTGGAGCTCCCTTAGTGAATGGCACTTCTAAATAGTCCTCTCTACTTATTTACCAGTTTTCTTGTTGGAAACCCCCCGAGCTGCTGAGTAAGAGAATACAAACTCGCGCCGTAACCCGACGGTGTTTGAAGCTGAAATACAAAGCCCTTCAGGGGCAGCTCCGCGCCTTCCCGGGCTGCGGCAGGGCGAGCGCGGCGGGCTGCAG